ATACCATTATGGACATCTGACATCACATGGAAACTTTGATTAAGATCGAGGCAACGCAATAATAATTCATCCTGCCCCCTACAATACAAGACATCCCCTAGTAACACATAAATTAAAACTTGCATCCTCATTCTCCTTGATGTTTTAGAACTGGGATTCTTCAAATGTTCTATTATTGGATGCCTTAGTCTATAAGCGTGAAATCTAGTGAGCATGCTTCCACCATTATCCTTCTTTGATGAATTGAAGGTAGCATGCGTTTTTCAATGATGATCACTTTCTCCAAGATGCCTTTAGGCATTTTTGCACCTGAAGCAATCTGCGCAAGTTCATTTGCTTCAACATTCATGTTTTAAGGAATATGCTTCAAAGAGACATCATCAAATTCCTCCAATAACTAGATGGCAGTGGCGAAATATGGAGACAAAACCACGCTTGTACACTTGTATTCGCCACTCAATTGCTTGAGAACTAATTGAGAATCACCCACAATTTCAACCAATGGTACCTTCAACTCTACCAGCAACCCAAGGCCAATTACCAAGGCCTCATATTCTACTTGGTTATTGGTGCATTCAAAATTAAACTGGAAACAACATTGGGTTTTTATGCCATTTGGATAAACAATAACAATTCTAGCCCCAGAGGCTCGATCAGTGCTAGACCCAACAAAAATAAGCCTCCAAGGGACCAAATTAATAGAAAAGAGATTGACCCCCTTGTCTTCATCAGCGTTAACATCTAAATAAGGATGATTTGCTAAAAAGTCTGCTAAGGCTTGTCCTTTGACGACCTTCTAAGGCAAATATCTCAGATTAAATTCAGTAAGTGCAAAAATCCATTTACCAATGTGACCTCTTAAGAGTGGCCGTGACAACATGTATTTTATGACATTAGTTTTTGAAACAGCAAACACCTTTGAGCACAACAAATAATGCCTCAATTTTATTGCTGCAAAGAATAGAGCCAAACACAAATTTTCAACCAAAGAATATTTCACTTCGGTCGGATTTAAAGCTTTACTCAAATAATAAACAGCTTGTTCTTATTTATTGTTATTCTCTTGCGCTAGCAAACAGTCAATTGACTCATTTGCGGTGGATATATATAGTAATAAGGGTTTATTTTTAACTGGAGGAAGAGGAACCAACACAGGTGGCTTGGACAAGTATTCCTTGATGGCATCAACGGCGGCTTGGTTCTCCTTCTCCTATTTAAAATTTGCATCAGGTTGCAACTTCAAAAGAGGTGACAAGACACAAGTCTTGCCCACCAAATTAGAGATAAATCTCCTTAGGAAATTAACCTGACTAAGAAACCGTTGCAATTCCTTTTTATTTTGTGGTAGCCGTGCTTCAATTATGGCCCTTGCTTTGTTTTTGTCCACCTCCAAGCCTCATTCATGAACCAAAAAACCCAAAAAGTTCCTTGTTGTAACACCAAAAGCACACTTGAGAGGATTCATCTTCAAACCGTGTTGTCACATCCTATCAAAAGCTTTCCTCAAGTGCTCCAAATGTTCTTCCTCCTCTATAGATTTGACCACAACTTCATCAATATAAATCTCCATGAAGCGACCAATCATGTCATAGAAAATTGCATTCATGGCCCGCTGATATGTAGCTCTTACATTTTTCAATCTAAATGGCATCACAACCCATTCATATGTACCTACGTTTCTAGGGCAACGAAACACCATTTTACATATGTCTTCCTCAGTGAGAAAAATCTAATTATAGCCATTATGCTCATCCATAAAAGATAAAACGCGATGGCGTGTAACCCCATCAACAAGTAAATTTGCTATTGGCATGAGGTATTCATCCTTTGGTGTGGCTAGATTTAAGTTCTGAAAATCAATGCAGATTTTGAGCTCTCCATTCTTCTTTACTATTGGAACAATATTAGATAACCATTCTGAGTACTTGGCTATTTGTATGAAATCAACTTTGTGCAACCACTCCACTTCTTCTTTCACCTTCAAATATCACTTCTGGAGACATATGGCATGGCGACTGTTTATATAGCTTATATCCTTTGCTGATTGGTAGTCTATGCTCTACCAACTTTCGGTCTAAACTTGGCATCTCAGAATAATCGCAGACAAAGCAGTCTTTGAATTCATGTAATAAAACAGATTATTTTATCTCGCAACTTTGGCGGCAACATGCCACTGACAAAAGTAATGTGTGGCTTTGCCTCCGTTCCTAGATTAACTTCCTTTAATGGATCCTGTACATCGACCCTAAGGTCATCCAACTTCGCAAGGGCCAGATCTAGCTCCTCCATTGTGACTCTATTGGTATGGGTGTCCTCATCACCTTCATGTACCATCTCTGACAGATTTGCTTCTATATTTCTTTCAGTAAAATAAGTTGCTAATTTCTTTAGAATTTCATATATGACGTCCCTTTTTTCTTTATTTATCCTAGACTTCTTTATAATAACTCCTCAATTTTAGGCTCTGCTTGTGACCTATATCAAATAATGGTAGTAGGCCGTAAGAGTTCATTGCATACCTCGTCAACCACATACTTAGCCAAGGTGGGCTTGTTGCAAGTAGTGATTCCATGAGATCTTCCTTGTTTATCCATGCCAAAGAAACAAATTGTTCCAACATCTTCATCATAGTATCGTGCTTCCACCATATTGGAATTGGCTAAGAATGGTCTGCTATCAACTTGAACCACCTCAGTTTTGCCTCCATTCCAAAAAATGAGTCTTTGGTGAAGAGTAGATGGAACACACCAATTCAAATGGATCCAATCACGTCCCAGTAATGCATTATAAGTTGCAGAAGAGTCTACAACAAAGAAAGCACTCATTGATGTCTTGCTATCGATAGTAAGTGCAACCAGCAGCATTCTTTTCGATTTCCATCGATAGTAAGTGCAACCAGCAGCATTCTTTTC